TAGCTTTGATGGAATAATTCAAGGGTATGAATGTGCTAGACTGTACCAGCTACAAGAAAGAAAATATTTTTTATATGATCTGGAGATCCTGAATACCATCTCCCTCTCTGCCAGCGATAATGCGCAGAGTTTATTGGTCTGTGCCCATATGTCAGTCATATTTGACTCAACAGCAACACATTTAAAATTAAATGTTTTATAAGGTGCATTTTCGTCTGAAGTGACTAGATTTTGAATTAAGAGAATTGAACACCAGATGTGTCAGTTTATTTAAGAAACATTTAGCTTTAAATGTAAAGAACGTCCAGCTTTGTTTATATCTCATGAAATCTAGTTGTCACAGAGCAGAGAGAAAAAGTCCTGGTTATGTCCTGGGAAAAGATGGTAGAAGGGAGAAAATCCTAGCAATTCCAGTGTTCGAGGAACAGGCGGGTGGGAGAAGAAGATGATGCAAAGAGAGATTCCAAGTTCAAATAAATTCCCTGAAGTTCTTCAGGGTTTAAAATGACTTCTAAGACAGCAACAACATGACATGGTTCTTATTTCATTTTTAACTTACATCCTATTTTGTAACAGAATGCATTAGGGAAGTTTATTCAGTCTAGAGAAATTCATCTATCACTGAATTTACAGAAACTGTCTTTTTCCGTGAAGCCAGAGACTCAAGGAAAACAATCTGGAAGGGAAGTAGCCGTGCGTTATCATTTTTTGACCTGCAGCTAAGAACATTTTGTTATTGTTTGGGTGTCAATATGTGGTATTTAGATCTTATTTTAATATTTTATTTGGCATATTTCCACTATACTATGATTCTCCACTTATTGAATTAATGGTAAAAAATGTCCTTGTACATTCATTATTCAAATAACTACACCAGGTTATAAGAACCTCTAAACTTTCAGCTCTCCAACCTCTGCTTCAATCAAGGTACCCCCATGTCTGCAATCCTCTCAGATGCTGTTCACCCCATTTCCAGATATATTTGAGCTATCTGCACTTACAAAAATCTGGCCCTGGCATTAAGTAAAGAATAGAACTTTGCAGCAAGTCAACCCAGCCTCATGCCCTGCTGTATTCAGACCAATGTTCTCCACTCTGATATGCTTGTTTCTTCCCTGAAAAGGTTTCCCTCTGAGACTTTTTCATGCCTCTAGAATCTCATAATCTTCCACCCTCCGGAATAACTGGATCTGTGAGAAAAAGCCCCTTCCTATCTATGTGCATGTATTTTAAATTCATCAATAGCCCATCTTTATGAGTAAGTGCAGACTCCCACAGGGAGGACTGAAGGCTGCCTGGTGTCTGTCCCATGAGAAGGTGGCTTGTCTCGCTCATTGGAAGATGGACATAAGAGATGCTCTTACGTGGGCCAGGGGGAAGACATGAGCACCCCTTAGAGGGCAGGAACATCTAGAAGGAACTCCTACTGTGCAGGTGTTGTGATGGCATCAGACTTGGCAGAAGATTTGGGGTACATGGAAAAGAGGAACCCAGAGAGGTCTTCTTTGCTGTGGTGACTATTCCAGTCATATTCTGTTATGTTCTTTACAAAAGCTTTGACATTTTCTTTAAATGAATACAGGATATTTCACTTTAAATATAGTCCTAGATGTTATTCCCTTTGCAGATGAGACCTAATTTCCTTTGAAATGTTTTATCACTTGTTTTAATCTGTATAAATTATTCATTTTTAATTATTTTTAGTGAGTTACTGAACACTAAATATGTGTAACTGATCTTTGGATTTTACCTAGTACGAAATAGTGGTTCAGGGTACAGACAAGGAAACATGAGGGGCTGTGATGTGAGACTGAGTGAGCCCACGAAAAAAGTGGGTGTCGACAGAGAAGAGACAAGGCCCCCAAACAGAGCCCTGGAACATTCCAATGTGATCAGCTAGGAGCTGACAAAGACCCAGGAAAGGAGACAGGGAAGGGGCAGCCT